CACCTTTCTTACTATCACTTCTTCTGAGCTGGACAATCAGCAACTCTGTCCAAGTTCTTCTCCAGATTGGAAGAAGGGAGAGGAGAAAAGATGCTACACTCTGCCAGTTGGCATGTGGGATTAAGTGCCAATAAGGCCGAGAGCCTGTAAAGTCATTCAAAAAGATGCAGTGAGAGAAATGGCTAATCCATAGGGCAGGTTCTGCAGAACAGTGCTACCTCTGGTAATTTTTGTCATTTTGTGATTGAAGCAATGGCTGATGGACAAAATGGGGAAATAGTATCAAAGCCTGACCTAGAAGTGAGATATAGCTCCCAGTACCAGGCTCTGCCTGTTGGTGTCTCAACCTTATTATAATAAATATGCATTGCTGTTATGTTTACTTTTTTTCTTGGTTACTTATTTGTATTACAGTAAGGCCTTGTAGCCCCAGCTGTGATCAAGGCCCTACTGTGCTAGGTGCTGTACAGATACATTTAAGTCCTTACCCCAGAAGGTTTTAAAAAAAAAAAATCTAACAAGATGGATAGATTAGGAGACAAGCAGTATTATTGTCCCCACTTTGCAATATGAACTGATGGATGGAGAGATCACATGACTTGCTGAAGCTCACACAGGACAGCTGTGTCAGAACAAAGGTATGAATGCAGCTCTTCTGAGTCCCACTCCATGTGACTTTTGTTCCTTTTTAGTGACTTTTAGTGTTTAGTCTGTTTATTTCATGGGTGGTTGCAATGGGGTGGCACCCACCTCTGGCAAGTACCCCCTTGTCCAGGTGTGTGTCTGCACCTCTTTCAGTCTGCGGTGACCCCTTCTGGCCGTTTCTAGTGATTCAGTCCTCTGGCCAAGTCTCACAGTGTCTGTATGGAACACAACTCAAACAGACCCTTTCCAGGGTATTAATCCAATAAAGTCTTTAAGCGCTTCTGACCCTGGTAGGGGGCTGTACTCCCATAGCTTCCTCCCTGGAAACTACATGCACTCCAGCCTGTTCTGGCCCTCGCTCTCCAGCTGACCTCTTAACAGTTCATATCCCCTTCTGGGGAGTTATCATTGTCCAATTGTAAGCCACTTCCCCAGTCACTTATGGGGGAAGGGGACCCAGGCTCAACTACTACCCCAGGGACCGTAAAAATAGCAGCCACGTGCCACCATGTTCCTTTAACTAAACTGCTTTCAGTTCCCTGGGCCGCTTCCCTATAGCCCCAGCCTTCACCAATGCTTCACCCTTACCTCAGGCTCTTCTATGTTCAGGCCCAGCAACTCTTTCCCACTCCCTGCCAGTACAGCACTGAGCAGTCTGCGGTACTACAATTCCCTTTGGACAGCCAGGAGTACCATCTATGCTCTTCAAGCTCCAAGCAACAATGGACTCTAGTCTGGACTGCAGCTCCTTTTATACTAGCCTGCAACCCTCTGATTGGCTAGCCCCTTGCAGCCTCCTCTCCTGATTGGCTGCTTCCTGAGCAGTCTCTCTAGGTCGGTTGGAGGACTTAGCTCCACTGCTCCTTTCCTGGGATGGGAATACCAGGACCCTGAGACCCTCCCGCTGGGAAATGGAAATGCCACTTCCCGGTGGGAGCTTGAGGGCTGGATTAAAACATTTGGAGGGCCGGTTGTGACCCCTGAGCTCTAGTTTGCCCACCTCTGTTCTAGAGGAAAATGGTGCGAGGGGGGGCAGGCAGGGGACGACCTCCCATCTTCCTGTCTTCTTCAGTGGCAGAACACCCACTAATTTTTACTAGTTATTGAACTAATTTTTTCCTGTGGGTGCTCCAGCCCCAGAGCACCCATGGAGTTGCAGCCTATGAAACTGTTTAGTGTACACAAGGCCTAAGTGACGGTCAATAGGATTTAGACTCCTAAATCACTTAGGCCTAATTCCTCACAGGTATTTTGGCATCTAGCTTCCATTTATTTCAATTGATTTTGAAATCAACAGATATTAGGTGCAGAGGCAGATTAAGATTTACTGGGGCCCTGGGCACAAAGAACTTTTGGGCTCCATGCCCCCCTCGCCCTGGGGCCCTACCCCCTGCTCCTCTTCTCCCCATTCTCCTTCTCTTCCCCCCACCCCACCTCCCTTCCCCCACTGCGTCTCCCACCCACTCCCCCTTCCCATCTTCCCCCACCCCCTTTCCCTATTGCTTCCTCCTCCCACTTCCCCCCGTTCTTCCCCCACTCCCCTGTTCTCCCACCAACCTCCCTTCCCCTCCCCCCACTCCCCCTAGCTTACTCCCCTATTTCCCTTCCCTTCCCCCCACCCTTCCCCAGGGCTTCTTCCCCTCCGCCTCTTTCTACCTTTCCCTACTGCCTCTTCCCCCCTCCTTTCGCAGGCTAAGCAGAGCTGCTCAACGTTGGCAGAATGGCGGGGCGGAGGCAGTGGCACGTGACCCCATATGCATCCCCCACACCTCGCCCATTGGGGGGGGTGCTGTCCTCCCCCAAACTACGTCCATCCCCTCCCCCTCTCCAACACTGTAACCTCCCCCTCCCCTGAGCCAAGCTCCCTCTGCCCGGAATGGGACTCATCTGCTGCCTGCGAGCCGGGGCTGGGAGCTGCAGCCACACATGGAGCCTGCCAGCCCTGACTGAACAGGGGCTGGAGCTGACTCTCTTACTTGCCCCAAGGCAGGCTTCCTTTGTTAAAATGTGGGAGGACTGTGGAGGGGCCATGGCCTCCCTGCCCTCACAGTTCCAGCATCCAGGCTCCCAGACCCTCCACCTGCCCCAGAGGACAGGGGCAAGGACAGGGATGGGAACTATTCTCAGGCACCTCAGCCCCCCACCCTGGGCAGGTGTAGGGTTCGCTCCCCCCGTGACCTGGGCTCCTTGGGTGGCTCTGGCTTCCGGCCTGGGTGGGTGTGGGGCCCGGGGAGGGTGGAGGAGCAGGGGGCTTGGTCAGAGCTCTGGTGCTCTTGGGGGCCTCCAAATTGGCTGGGACCCCTGGGCATGGGCCCAGTTGGCCTGTGAGGTAATTTGCCACTGGTTGCACCAGTATAACCTAATGTGTGAATTTAAGCCAATATTGTAAAACTGGGCAACCCCCATGTGAACATTTATTTCGGTATAAAAGTGGCTTTATTTGATGTAGCTTAAGTTAGCTGGGAACAGGTTTAAATTAAACCAAAACAAACCAGTCAATCTAAAATGAGTGTGTACACAGAGGTTTGTGCCACTTTAACTATCTCATTTTAAAAAGTGATTTAGATTGGTGCAACTTTTCCATGTAGACAAGGCCTACATTTCTAGCCCTCATGGTTATGATATGAAGAAAAACTTGAAAACATGAAACAAATATAACCAATGCAGGGATCTCTGCCTGAGTCTGAACAGAACCAAACCAGTAGCACTTAGGGCACCAAACTACCCCATTTACTTCTACGGGGTGTTAACTCCCACCGGACTGTTTTAGGGGCTTTCCAAACACCACCCCAGTAAAGCGTGGCAGAAGAATGAAGTGTGCACAGTGAATTCATGAACCTGTGGAAATACACCCCAGCTACTAGGGTAAGTATTGAGCCCCCCTGTGTCACCCCAGCCCCTCCAAGGGAGAGTGGGAACCCCTGTTGTCACTCTTGGATGGTAAAGGAGATCCATCTGCTGCTGTCCTGTCAGTCTCAATGGGAGAGGAGCTCCCACCTGTTGATCCCAAGATGGAGGATGGGCCTCTGCTTCCAGAAGGAGAGTGGCCTCTTGCCTCTCTGAAACATGGGAACTACGGCAAAAGAGATCTCCAGATTCCTTAAACTGTCCCCCATTGAATAGCATAGCAGTTCCTTGTGGAGGCATCTCTACTGCTTCTGTTGCTAGTATGCAAGCTCTTTGAGGAACAGCTGTCCTCATTGCATAGAATCATAGGGTTAAAAGGGTCACCATGGAAGTTGTCTGCTTTCACCCTTGCTCTGTTTTCTCTATGCTGATCAAGTCTCATGTGACATTGCACTTGGCAAGTTACCTAGTGGCAAAGGCTGCTATAGACGTTTGTCCTATGTCTGACCTGCACTTAGCCTTTGTCAATAGCTCCTCCTCATGGGATAAGGGAAAGTGAACTGGAAACAGAACTTGAGATTTCGCTCACCATGGCCTTTCAAAGGAGATATTGGTGTTAACGGCGACAGCAAAACAACTTCTGTTGTTTGTTGCTGTAAGTGCCTCACCAGCATCATGGTTATTTTTCCTGCTACGTAATTCTGATTGTCAGGGATTCAGCCCATCAGAGCCATGATCGCTGCCCACAGTGATCAGAAAATCTCTCTCCACCTTGCTACCGTTAATTGTGGTTAGTCTCTCACATGGCATGTGACTCCAAACAGGAATCAAAGGGCAGTCAACAACCAGCTGTTCCCCTTTGTAAGGGAGTCTAATGGGGCACGGGGAAAGCAACTGTACCAACTCCCTAAGCTCAGGGACCCCCAAAACATCTGTGTCAATGAAGTGCAATGGAAGGCAGTGAGGCCAAAGGGAACACGATAGGTTGGGGGCCGCTGGTGCCCTTCTCTGTTACAGATTGTGTCTTCACTGGGAAACAGGAGCTCAGGGACAGAGCCAGCTCGAGAGCCACCTGTCCGTACCTAAGAACAGCCGTACTGGGTCCGACCAAAGGTCCATCTAGCCCAATAGCCTGTCTCTGACAATAGCCAACGCCAGGTGGTGTCCCAGAGGGAATGAACAGAACAGGTCATCATCAAGTGATCCACCCCGTCGCCCATTCCCAGCTTCTGCAGGGAACCTCCCTGCAGCTAAAGGGGAAAACCTGGGAGATGAGCACAGGGCAGCCCCCCTCTCAGGGAGGAGGCAGCACGATGGGGGAAGCTCTTTCCCCGTTACTGCCTCACACCGCAACTCCACCGCCCGCACCTGCTCTGCAGGGGGTATTAGTGCGTGCACCGCGCGCGGGCGTTTGTCCTTCCCCCGAACCACAGGCGAAGGGGGAGACCTCCCGCTCCTTCTTCCCCCGCCTCATCTCACGTGACTCTTCTCTGGCGGATGTAGGGCTCTCTCCCGCTTCAGGGCCCGCCCCGAGCGCGGCGCGGGGCTTTCGCGCGCTTTCGGGACCGTTTGCCGCGCGCCCGTCCCTTTGAGCGGGGAGCCCGGCGCCGGGCAGGATGCGGAGCCGCGAGGAGGTGGAGGCCACGCTGCACATCGCGAAGCTGAAGCCGGCGGAGCTGCTGCCGCCCGTGCACTGCCTCAGCTTCAGCCCCCGCGCCAGCGCCGGGGAGTGCTGCCTGCTGCAGCTGGAGCCGGGCCTTTGCGCCGAGCTGGAGGCGGGGCGCAGGTGCGGAGGTGGCCCGGCCTGGGACTGCGGCGCGCGCGGGGGACCGGGCCTGCAGCGCGCCCTGGCGGGCGGGGCAGGAACGATCGCGATGGGGAGGGACCGCCGGAACCTTGCCAGGCGGTCGTGTGACCTGGGTGCCGGGGGGGAATGAAGGGGCAGATCACGGTTAAAATGGATCTGTACAAGTTGCCGAACCGAAAGCCTCCCTGGGGCCCCCTGCGCATCTTGCCCGGGCGGAGTTTAAATTTCTGTTTTTAATTCATTGTTTTAATTCCCTATTGGTTAAAATGTGAAATGATCAAGGTTTGTATCCCTGGAACGTATCTGTTTCCCGTGAACAGCACCATGAATTAAAACGTGGCTCTCAACTTCTCAACACTCTGCCTGTGAATAGTTCCTTTGAGCTCCGTAGGACTATTCATGAAGTGCATACGTGCGAGCCCCATTTGTTTTTCGTGGTTCAGGGTAGTTTCTTTTGGTTGAAACAGTGGGCTGTATTCTGGTTTTAGGGGCCACACAGGACTCTCTGGAGCATGGAGCCCTGGGAGAAAGCGTGAGTGCCGTGGGGGTTGTGGTTAGTAAAAGGTTTGAAAAATCCTTCATTTGACTGCAGTTGTCCTCTAAGGCAGGGGTTCTCAACCTTTTTCTTTCTCAGAACCCCCCAACTTGCTATAAAAACTCCATGGTCCAGCTGTACAACCATACCTGTTTTTCTGTATATAAAAGCCAGGGCTGGCATTAGGGGGTAGCAGACAGGGCACTTACCTGAGGTCCCACACAACAGGGGGCCCCATGAAGCTAAGCTGCTCAGGCTTTGGCTTCAGTCCTGGGTGGTGTGGCGAAGGGGCGTTGGTTTTCTGCCCTGGGCCTCAGTGAATCTAATGCCAGTCCTGCTTGGAGGACCACCTGAAACCTGATGAAAGCCCCCCAGGGGGCCTCGGACCCCTGGTTGAGAACTGCTGCTCTAAGGTAAAAGTGTAGGAAAATGTTAAAAATCACATGGAAGCAGAAGTTTTTTCTGAAGAACATTCAGAGTTAATAGGTCTGGGTTTTTATTAGAGGAACAGTTGCTGTGCCATTACCCAGTGCCCTGAAGTAAGCTGGGAGTGATTGGGACTTCAGTGCAGTGTTGGTCATGTATATGAGCTTTCAGGATCAAGATTTAAAAGATCAGAAAGTGGGTGAAATGAACAAATGAGCAAGAGGTGTGGGAAGGAGGAAGGGGTAACCGTAATATGATTAAACTAACTGTATGTCACAACTTGGAGATATAAGGAGGACTTGTGGCACCTTAGAGACTAACAAATTTATTAGAGCATAAGCTTCCGTGAGCTACAGCTCACTTCATCAGATGCATGCAGTGGAAAATATAGTGGGAAGATTTTATATACACAGAGAACATGAAACAATGGGTGTTACCATACAGACTGTAACAAGAGTGATCAGGAAAGGGGAGCTATTATGGGGGGGCTTTCCAGCAGTTGACAAGAACAGTAGGAGGGGAAATAAACAAGGGGAAATAGATTTACTTTGTGTGATGACACATCCACTTCCAGTCTTTATTCAAGCCTAAATTAATTGTATCCAGTTTGCAAATTAATTCCAATTCAGCAGTCTCTCGTTAGCATATATCACATTGGTGGATGTGCAGGTGAACGAGCCTCTGATAGTGTGGCTGATGTGATTAGGCCCTATGATGGTGTTGCCTGAATAGATATGTGGACACAGTTGGCAATGGGTTTTGTTGCAAGGATAGGTTCCTGGGTTAGTGTTTTTGGTGTGTGGTTGCTGGTGAGTATTTGCTTCAGGTTGGGGGGCTGTTTGTAAGCAAGGACCTGCGCATCTACCAATGTGATATATGCCATCATGTGCCAGCAATGCCGCTCTCCCATGTACATTGGCCAAACTGGACAGTCTCTACGTAAAAGAATAAATGGACATAAATCAGATGTCAAGAATTATAACATTCAAAAACCAGTCGGAGAACACTTCAATCTCTTTGGTGACTCGATTACAGACCTAAAAGTAGCAATTCTTCAACAACAAAAACTTCAAAAACAGACTCCAATGAGAGACTGCTGAATTGGAATTAATTTGCAAACTGGATACAATTAACTTAGGCTTGAATAAAGACTGGGAGTGGATGGGTCATTACACAAAGTAAATCTATTTCCCCTTGTTTTTTTCCCCTCCTACTGTTCTTGTCAACTGCTGGAAATGGCCCACCTTGATTGTCACTACAAAAGGTCCTGCCCCCTGCTCTCCTGCTGGTAATAAGAAAAGGAGGATTTGTGGCACCTTAGAGACTAACAAAGCATAAGCTTTTGTGAGCTACAGCTCACTTCATCGGATGCATTCAGTGGGGGGGAGAGGGGGAAAGGTAATAGCTCACCTTTCCTGATCACTCTTGTTACAGTCTCTATGGTAACACCCATTGTTTCATGTTCTCTGTGTATATAAAATCTCCCCACTATATTTTCCACTGTATGCATCCGATGAAGTGAACTGTAGCTCACGAAAGCTTATGCTCTAATAAATTTGTTAGTCTCTAAGGTGCCACAAGTACTCCTTTTCTTTTTACGGATACAGACTAACACGGCTGCTACTCTGAAACTTGTAGATATGATATTCCAACTGGTAGCAGTAGTCATAGTAACTGCAACTTGCCACCTGGTTAGCAATATTTTTAATGTATTTGAAATGTTATGTCCTCTGTAAATAAAGATGAGTATTCCTTTGCTATTTTTGCATTTAAAAACAAGAACTTGTTTTTTTTCAGCCTAGTGATTCGTGGTGACAAAGATGAACAAGCTGTGCTGTGCAGTAAAGATAAAACTTATGATATGAAAATAGCAGATACTTCAAATATGTTGCTGTTTATCCCTGGCTGTAAAACTCCAGAACAGCTGCTTGTAGATCAAGCATCATGTAATGTCATTCACACCCAGGTATATTCTTTTGTTTCCTTATCATCTATTCTTCACATTAGTGTTTCACCTAAGGTGCCTATTATTATAGTATCTTACAATTGCAAATGATCAGCATGAGTGTATTAACATAAAACTTATCTATCATGGCTTCAGTTATCATCTGTTTAACAGATCCAAGCATAAAGTCTGTTTTGGGTGAGGCAGTAAGTACTTATGGTGCTTAGTAACTTCAAAGAATAGATATTTTCTCCTTCACTCAAGTGAGCTGTCTTAAATATAAGACACGAAGAGCAAATTGACACTTTTACATTAGTAGAGTGCCTGTTTAAATGGCCTACCCTGAAAGGCACATTTTGCTGCACTTTCTTAGTTCCATTGTCTAAAAAAAAAATCTTCAAAGATGACTCTTCTATCCTACCTGTTGCATCTGGAAAGATTCTATGGGATGGAGGATTTTAGAATTATGAGTTTAAAGAATTCATTGTTTCTGCCCCTTTGAAGCAAATGTAATAGATCAAATTTTCCTAAAAATGGTTAGGAAAATATTATCATTTGCTCTTAATTTTGTACAGTGGGTATAATGACATCACTAAGGAGGAGTCGCCCTCCTTCTCCAGTTCTAGAACAATCAGAGCATCATTTATTCCGCAGAGTTTGCAGTTCTGCTAGTAGGAAAAAGTCCATTCAAAACAAAGTAGATTAACAAGAAAGTAATATTCCTTCTCCTTCACTCTTGCTATGTTCTGTAATGATTTTTTGAAGTCCCAGGCACCAAGATAACTTCCTGTCAAATCACTTTGGGGTTTTTTTGGTTGGGATCTTTCCAAACATGTTGTAGTGCAGGGGTGGGCAAAGTTTTTGGGCCGAGGGCCACATCTGGGTGGGGAAATTGTATGCAGGGCTTGGGCAGGGGGTTGGGGTGCGTGAGGGAGTGTGGGGTATGGGAGGGGGTGCGGTGTGCAGGAACAGGCTCAGGGCAAGGGATTGGGGCAGAGGAGGGGTGCAGGGTGTGGCAGGGGACTCAGGGCAGGGGGTTGGGTACCCGCGGGTGCAGCAGGGGGCTATGGGAAGGGGTGCAGGAGGGTGATCAGGGGGTTGGGGTGCAGGAGGGATTCGGGCTCCAGCCCAGCGCCACTTACATAAAGCAGCTCCAGGGTGGCAGTGGTGCACACCGCTCCGGGAAGCAGCCAGAACCATGTCCCTGCACAGCCCCGTGGGGGGGCACAGGGCTCCACACACTGCCCTTGCCACGCCTCCAGGGACCTACCCTGAAGTTCCCATTGGCCGTGGTTCCCATTCCCGGCCAATGGGAACTGTGGGGGACGGCGCCTGGAGCCAAGGGCAACGCATGGAGCCCTTTGTTCCCCTGACCCTGGGGCTCCAGGGAAATGGTGCTGGCCGCTTCTGAGAGCGGCGTGGGGCCCACGGCACCACTGGGGGCAATTCTGCATGCCATAGTTTGCCCACCCCTGTTGTAGTGTATAGTTATATTGCTTAGATTGCAAACTCTTTGAGAGGTACTTTCTTTTTGTTATGTGTGCATAGTGCTAAACATAATGGGATTGGGGCCTGTAAGTGCTACTATAATACAAATAATATAAATTACCTTTCTTCTGGAAGCAGTATTGAAAGGCTCATGCATCAGTCCAAAGAGATGATCACTCAGGAGCAAGCACTCCCTTCCACAGGGGCTGAGCATTCTGCTATGTTTGTCCAGGGTGAGCAACTAGCTCTGGCTATGAACTCATTATGTGTTAGCATATTTTTCAACCACTAAATGACCAGCAATATCATCTTCTCTGAGAAATTTGAAAAGAAATGAAAAATAAGTATAGAAAAAAACCCCAAATGTTGTAGTTATTCTGCTTGTGTAATTGCCATTGCATGTGAAAAGAGCTGGAGAACTGAGGTCATAAACTAATATTTATTTAAATAAACTAATATAGGCAAAAACTATAAACAAAAAGAAGTCTAAGCTTTCCAAACAGAATTTGGATACAGTATTTCATATCTAGGCTGCTTTCTTGAGTAGTAGTGCTTGTTTTTTTTTTTAATTGACAATCTAGCTTAAATGGTTAAAAGGACAATTTAAAAACAAATTACTTAAAAATCAAATTTCTAGAACATCTTTAAAATCCTGACTTTTAAAAATACATTTATAAAAAAAAAAACCTGAGCTTTTCTGTTACTGCAGCTGTTAGAAGGATTTTTCATACAGGGGAAAGGGTTGAATCTGAGAGCAATACCACTAAATGAGCTTGGAGCCTGCTGTGCCTTCCCCATTCTGTGCTCACACCTGTCTGATTGCTGGCCTCTTCAACAGAAGAGCATTGCCTACGGCCTCCTATCATCTGAACGCCTCAGTAGGACTTTTGGGGGATGCCCAAGGTATGCTTCAGAGGTATTTCAATGCACCCTGGGATTCCTCTGAAGGTCCTAGAGAGTTTAGAAGATTGGAGACCTTGTATCAATTACACTTTTTGGTTTCTCTTCTCCCTGTGTGGTAGATTAGGGAATGAAGGCAGTTCTTCTGCTGATTGTCCCACTCAGCTTCTGTCATGTCCTGTCTCTGTATACATATCTTTGGAAAGGGAGGCACCCACCTGGGCTCCGAACCCTGCCATGGTGTCGCTGGTAAACCTCTTTTTCAGGGCCTGGGGAAAAGAAGTGTGCAGTATTTTTAACAATGACCCATGAGCACACTTAGAGCATGTACCTGGCTTATATAGTTATGTAGTGAACATCTTTCTTCTTTCCCAAGATGCATGTTTAATGAAGTGATGATTCATAGCTCCCTTCCGCATTCATTGTGTAGTAAAATGCCCATTAACTAGGAATTCCAGGATATGGGAAATAATTGGGAAGATAGCTTGTGGAGAGCAGCAAGACTGAGGTATTAGAAAAAAAGAACAGATGTTGGAAGGGGTGAAATTGACAGGACTTTAAAATATCTGGCCATTAGCAGGTATTGTCCATATGTAGAGACCAGCTGGTTTCTTTGTCATGTAGACAGTAGGTATGCTTTTATTACTGAACTACAGACTTCTAACTCTTATTCCCAATAATGGACTTCAGTGCTGAGAATATTTCTGCCTACTCTTCTTTAGAAACGAGAAACAATCTCTTTAAAAAAAAAAAAAATCAAGATATTTATTATGTGACCTCTATAAAATTCATTGTTAATTATTCTTTGCAAGTTACCTTGGCTGACAGTGTTAAATTAAATGAGTCACAGAATCTTTAATTTCTTTTTGTAGATTGCTGGTTTCTCCAATAATTACTGGGAATTAAGGAAATGTCGACCTAAACTAAAGAAACTAAAGAAACTTCTAATGGAAAATCCTTATGAAGGGCCAGACAGTGAGAGAGAGAAAGCTCTGACTGACTCAAAGGTAAGCCTGTTAAGTAAATCACTTCCTTGTTTTTACTTTTCCTTTGTAATTGGTAATGCTATAAAAGCCTAGTAAAGCTACATTCTTAACTAGAAAAAATAGCTTTGCTCCCAGTTTTACTTAATTATGCAGAATTGTGCCCTTGTACACAGTCCTGCTCTGAGCTGCTTTTTCTCCCTGCTTGAGACAGCCTGGCATGCTAACCTAGTCAGGAATTGCTCGCAGTGTTACTGGCTGCAGTCAGAAAGCTGTTTGCCTTAGTGAGAAGGGATAGTCTTCCTTTTTTGTGTAGACTAGAGCATGGTTTTCAAACTGTGGGTTGCGACCCAGTACTGGGTCACGGAATGTAAGGCACTGGGTTGTGGCAGCTCTGGTCAGCACTGCTGACTGGGCTGTTAAAATCCCATTAGCAGTGCTGCCCGGCTAAGGCAGGCTAGTCCCTACCTGTTCTGACATCGCATTGCGCCCCAGAAGCGGCCAGCAGCAGGTCTGGCTCCTAGGCAGGGGGTCCAAGAGGCTCCACATGCTGACCCCACCCCAAGCACTGGCTCCGGACTCCCTTTGGCCGTTTCCCAGCCAATGGGAGTTTGGGGCGGGGGGGCTGTGCCTGTAGGCAAGAGCCATGCGGAGCAGTTCACACACTTTCACCTAGGAGCCGGACCTGCTGCTGGCCATTTCCAGGGCACAGCACGGTCCGGTGCCAGGATAGGCAGGAAGCCTGCCTTAGCACCCTTGCTGCACCACTGACCGGGAGCGGCCGCAGAAAAGCCACTTCACCCCCATGCCCCAATCCCCTACCCCAGCCCTGAGCCCTCCCCAGAGCCCCCTCCTGCATCCCAAATCCCTCATTCCTGGCCCCACCCCAGAGCCCTGACCCCCTCCCACACCCTGAACCCCTCATTCCTGGCCACAACCCTCACCCCCAACCCTCTGCCCCAGCCCAGAGCCCCCTCCCACACGCTGAACCCCTCATCCCCAGCTCCACTGGGTCACGGAAATCAACAATTTTCTTCATCTTCAAAAAAAGTTTGAAAACATTGGACAGAGGATGGTGAGAAGAATTACTGTCCCCCTTCTGCAGGGGGAAGACTTCTGCACTAAGCTAGCAAAATGAAGCCAGAAGTTGTGGGGGGGAAACTGACAACATCCATTTTGAAGTCTTAAGGAACTGGCTATCTAAATCCCCCAAACGTTATGTGACTATCAGGTGTAGTGGCTTTCCCCACCGTTACTTGTGCTTCTTGTGACTTCATTTTACCCTATGTAAAAGGCACTCACCACTAAGGAAAGGGAAGTAGAATGATATGGGAAGGAAGAGAAGTAGAATAGCAAGGGTGATATGGAGGAAGTGGAGGGAGAAAGGGTTGAGATTACTCCAAAGGCAGACATAATTACAGATCTGGCCTGCCAGAGATCATAGGTTTTGTTATTAACCTGCAAGTTCTGCCTTCAGAAAATCCAGTTCAGGCATCAAGAATGGTCAGAATGAGAGATATGAATCATCTGACTTAAAATATAAGGCACGTCTTGAGGAAATATTATTAAGTAAAGAATTTTTTCATGATGGAGTAAAATACAGTTTCTGAACATTTACATATGATCTATTAGCTGACTAGTTTTAAAACTAACTTACATTTGCATGACAATACAAATATCCTTTCAAATATTAATGCTCAAAGGTAACATCTGAGATTTCTCCGCGTTTAAAAGAAAATACTTTTAACATGTCAGTTTTGTCTAATTATCTTCTAACTTCCGACCAAAACTCAGAATATTAAAGGGATAATTTTTTTTTTTTTTTTTTTTAAAAACATAAGATTCTTAACTGTGTTACAGATAACATTGTGGAACTTTAAATTAGATTGTAAGTTCCCTGGGAGGACAGGCTACGCCTTGCTGTGGGCGTTAATTCTGACTGGAGCCCCTAGATGCTACCACAATACAAGTGATGATATGCATTTTTGTTATGCTCCTTGTTAACTCTTTGCATTTCTCTTGGCATGGGCAACTAACAAGTGATTGTTTTTTCCTGTGCGCAAAAATGATCAATTCAGTAGATTATAGGAAACTCATGTTTTTATAACACAGCATACTGCTACAGTGTTTGTTGCATATATTCACTCAATATTTCAATGTATTCACTGCTGACCACTGAAGTAAAACAGCGGATGTTCAGTATCCAAGTACAGCAGCACTGAACAAGTCTGAGGCAGAAAGTGAAGAATACTGTTGCCAGTGAAATTACAGTAAAATTTAGACAGAATAAACTATTTAAGATGCAGGGTGGATTTGATTTAAATCAGGATTTAAATCACTAGTCAGGAAGACTTGATTTAATCATGGTTTTCTACATAAGTGCATTCTTGTTGGTTATTATAATCTTAATACATATTCTTCACAACTCAAAAATAGATGTAGGTTTCTTTTTTAGAAGGTACATGCTTTACATTTTTAAACAGTGATTTATTTTGAAAACTTTTCAGAGTAGTTTTACAGCTAAATCAGAAAATGAATGATTGTTTGGTTATTTCATTTACCAAAAGTAATTGAAGCAGATATTTATGAAGTCATTGGGAGATGAACTATTTCCAATTCAACAGGTTAATCATTAATATTTGGAGGATTTTCTTGCCATGCTGTATTAGGAGGAGAACATCACCAGACAGACATTTAAATTGTTTTATTTAACTAAAACAACGTTAAATATTCTGGATTTTTTTCTTCAACAGCAAACATATAATATTTTAACAAAACAAGCATATGTCCCTCACTTCTCACATTTTTCTCCAGACTTCTTCTTGTCCAGATCTATTCTGCCCCCACAATCTTCTATTCACTGAACTTTTTGAAACTTTGCACTTTTAGAGAGAGGTAGGAGATTAACTCTGTGTATACAAATTTGCAGAGGGACAATAGGGTTGAGGTCTGTTATTTCTCACCTCTATATATTATTTACTTGCTTGTTAACAGCAAATATGTTTTAAAGTATGTTACTTCTGGAGACACAAATCCACAGTTTGAGAACTGCAAAACTAAGCATCTCTGATGGTATCTTCTTGCATGTTGCAAATGTGTACCTCGCATAGGATGGCCACTTGAGCTAGTCTGACTTCTGGAGGTAGTCTTATATCACTGGTACATGGTGCAAAGGCTTCCTTTATTTAGAAAGAATGTTATTTTTTTAAAAAATTGAATGATCTTTGGAGAAACTAGTTTAAATTGCAGGAAAAGATTGTTTGCAAATTTGAACTAGTGTGGTAAATTTAAGAGACTTTTTTCAGAGGAACAGCCGTGTTAGTCTGTATTCGCAAAAAGAAAAGGAGTACTTGTGGCACCTTAGAGACTAACCAATTTATTTGAGCATGAGACTTTAAAACCCAAGCCTCCACTGTGTTCTCCCATCCCTGTTCTAAATAATGTTTATCTTCATATTTATATGAGGTAATATTTACTTTCTTCAGTTTAGCTTTAGCAAGGGTTGAAGGTAATCCATTTTTTTTTCTTCTTGCATGCTGCAGTATACAATGGAAGACTTGCTAGATCGGATTCAAGCGAGTGAGGAGGAAATACTGCATCAGTTGCAGGTTATAAATGCCTGTAAAATTGAAGGTATTTGTCCCTATAGGTAGGATATGTATTATTTTGTAGCATAACACATGGGGTCAACTTAGTGAGGAATGCAAGAAAGTGGTGGTCTCTGCAGGGCTTTGTATAGCTTTCTCCCGAAATGTCAATAGTATCTTCCAATGTTTTATGTAGGAGTCAAAGGAGTTAATTGCTTTATTTGACTCCAAGCAGTCACAACATGAAAGGCAGGCAGATAGACATAGGCATGCATAGTGGGTTGAGAATACCTGCCACTATTGTTAGTAGTTCTCAAATGCTTGCATAACATGCATCACAAAATATTAAAAATTCTTATTGACTACATCCCTATTCAATAGCATAACATCCCTGTAACAACTGTGCAGTAGTTGATTTACATAGAAAAGTAACAAGGTATTTTGATCTCTCCTTGAAAAATTTAATCACACTGGTCTCTGCTCCATTCTACTATTCTGTTCCTTTCCTTTTTCTCCTCTTGTTAAATGTTCTTTAAATAATCTTTGAAGAGCTTGGTGTTCTGTTTGTGCCTTGAAAGGGAGCTGAGACTCAAGTGTGAGAATCCTGAAAGATATTTTCAGAGAAGCAGAATTACGAAGTATTATTACATATTTCTTCTGTTTGGCAGGATATTGGAGGGTTCTAGAATTTGATTATGAGATGAAACTTCTGAATCATGTGACTCAGTTAATAGATTCTGAATCTTGGTCTTTTAGCAAGGTTCCTTTAAGTATCTGTCTTCAAGAACTTGGATCCCTGGAACCCAAGTAAGTATCTTTTTGTTTCTTTGTGCTTAAAGCACTAGAAAACAAATTACTGTTACTCATATTAATCATCATTAGTATTTGCACTTACCATAGAGGAGTCGTATAATAACTATATTCAACTAACAGTGCTCAAGATTAGAAGTTCTTTGACTCCGTAAAACATAAATCCATTTCACCTTCAAGGTACAGTCCTGCTCTGAGGTCAGCGTGGAGCTGCACTGCTCCATGGAGAGCTCTGGCTCATAGTTAGGAACACATTCATTGCTACAACCTACTTGGGGCGGGAAGAGATGCACTTACCCCCTGCCCACTCTAAATGCTTCTGGCCACCTTTGTTGTCTGGTATGTAGGTGGGACAGAGCTATGGCCTGTCTCCTCATATGTTTTGCAGGAATCTTTTGTCCCATAGGGGAGCAGTCCTTTTATATAGGGAGTATGTGGGCTGCAATTGTGTCCCTTGCTGTGAATGGGCCACAGTGCGGGCTTCTTATACCCATTTTTCCCTCCCACCATTTTTTATGTGCTCAAGGGGAGCATAGCATGGCCCTGAGTAATTTTATACAGTAAAGGTGTGACACTTCAGGTCTGGTTAGACTGATCTCTGTTCCCTGGTCAGTGTCACATAATCATGGGTCGTGATTACAAAAAATCCTACTCCAGTCTCATGGCAGGCATAAGTATCCACTGACTACTGTTAAAACGTACACTGACACAGCAGCTAAAGTGCTGTTCACTCTATTGTATGTTCTGCTTGTACCCATGACTTAATTGGCAGACTGCTGCCCATGGTGGAATACCAATCAGGAAGCATGGCAAACGAAAAATGTGTGGTGGGCACCTCCTGCATAATCATTTTGTGTTATGCAGTGGCACTTCTGGTAGTGTAATGCTTTATTTGAATAAATATCAGTGATCATATTAATAGAATAGTATTAAAATATTTACAGGCCATTCCATTCAAATTACAAGGCTACTGAATTGTGCTTACTGACTGAGGCTTTATAAATTTTTGTTGAACTTCATTTAGGGGAAAAAAACCCATACTAACATTTTGCTTTTATCCAAAATCTGCAAAGTAGTACAAGTTAGGCTATAATTTGATGCAACCAGTCCATAAAGTACCTTTTATTAATATGTTATACATATCTGCAGTGCTTTGTGAACCTCTGTGATGCTTTTTGCTGGTGAAAAATGAGGGCAGGCAAGAGTCCTATCTTCCTTCCCTCTGCATCTCTTCAAAGCACAGTGGGAGTGGGCACTAGGGAGGCAAAGTTGCTGGGGTACCATGGCAGGGGATCTTCAGAGACCCTGGATCAACCTCCCTCACTTCGTCCATTTCAGCCCCTATTTACTTTGTTCCCTTTCAGCTCCTGTTACTTCTATGTCTCTCTGTCACCTTAGTCTGTTCCTTTGCTCCCTAACCCTTCAGCTGCTATGACACATCCCATCCCCTATTGTCTTTCCTGCTTTTGCTTTGTCTGCCCCTGTTTCAGTGTGTTAGTGGGAGGGAGGAAGGTATTTGTAGTGATTTTTTTGATTGTACGCTAACTTTATACAATACATAATTTCAAAATGCCTTCCTTTGCCATAAATCTGAAATGCATAAAAGTTGATTTTAAAGTTTAACTTTTTCTTTCAGAGAAATGATACAACATATTCTTTTAAGTTATGGAAAGAAATATACTGATGAAGGTAAGTTATGGCAGGGATGCATTTATTAAGAAAGGAGGGTTAAGAATTAACGAATTACGTAACTAAAATAACAAAGTGTAAGAGAGTAGGGAGGCCAACCCTGAGCTAAGAAATGTTTAGGCTGATTATCATGAAAACTTTCCTTAACAGTGAGGTCTACTAAACTATGGGATAGGGAAACTAGTGTCATTAGAGAAAAATCATGAATTAGCAGAGAGGTGCCTGAGATAAGCTAGTAGATCTTTCCAATTCATAACCTCTGTGATTGAGTTTAAATGTGTTGCACAGCATTAAAGAACTCTTTTTCTGATGGATTTTATCATCCAGGCATTTGAATTAACTTGTGTAGTAGGGCATAGTGGCTCTTAGAGGCCTATAGGCCCAACATGGGTGTTTCTGATTTCAGCTCATAATGTGGGGTTGGAATGAGTGTTGGGAAAGGCAGAGCTATAGAAGGCACTCTACTTGCATAAGCGGAGACCACGGAAGTGGCAAGACCTGGTGTGGCGCTCTCCATTAAAGGCGTTGGAAATGGCGCTATTGCAGCAGTGACTGTTGGGATATCTCTAGACAAGGTGCATGGGAGGGGTTGGTTTGTCTGAGCCCAAGGAAGTGGCCTGGAAGTCTGAGAGGACTTGGATGCAGGAGGAGTTTGGGAAGGGAGAAGGTGAAGCAGGTAAACTTGAAACCCAGGGTTCGCACATATTCTTTTTTTCGATGGGCTTTGGACTAGGTCTTTCAACTAGGTCTTTCAGAGAGTGGGAGAAAGTGCACCTTACCCTCTTCACTACCCTGTATCAAGGGAGAAGACCAGGATACCGCCCTTGGGGAAGTGAAAGGACTACTGAACTGTTTAGCTCAGAGACTGCAAACAACTGTTGATATCAGACTTGCATAAACAAGAGTGAAAGGGATGGGGATGGGGGTGGCAGGGGAGGTAAAAGGACTGTTTCACCTGAGGAGGGTGCAGGTCTATTGATGTTAGTCCTGATCAACAGGGCTAAAAGCTGTGGCTAGGAGAGGACTAAGGATGTACTTGTTTCTGTTCTGACTCTTGTTTACCTGGGAAGGGAGGGGACTTTAGTTTAGCCAGAGCATAAAACAACCAGCCAGAGGGTTAACTTAACCAGCCAGAGGGGAAACTTAGGCACAAATTACCCTGCCAGGAGGGGTAGACTGCAGAGTAGATGGGAAACTTGAGGCACAGAAATGTCCTGATACCAATGCAAGTAAGAACCTGTGAGTGTAATTTATTTTTCCCTTTACAGATGAAGTTTATTTTGAAATGAATGCAGATAAAATATGCACAGCTACAGCACAAATGCTCTTGCAAAATGCAGTTAAATTCAATCTCTCAGAGTTTCAAGAAGTATGGCAACAAAGTGTTCCCGAAGGGCTGACAACAAGGTTGGATCAGCTCAAGGTAAAAACTAAACTAGTGGATTCGGTTTCATGTATTAGCAGGATGTTCTTACTGCTGTATTGTGTAGGACTTGTATATGAATCATGAACAACCGGCTTCTTATTTTTTATTTCAACTGTATTTGCCAGCAGCTGAGAGAAGCATTATAGTCCTGCACTAAAGCATTTACAAGGCATTTCCTGAAAAGTGAAACTGCCTAGGACCTCAGCAGTGTAGGAAGGAGCATGACAGTGCTCTCCTAGCTGTCTCCCTGGACCTGATACACATAGCTATAGAAGAAAAATTTCAAATCTACAGTCTATTACTATCAGTGTAGACAGAACTAGAAGTCCAACATACTGTAGAACAGCCTTTAATGATTCTAGCATGCTGTAACCAATATAAATGTTGTTGAAGGTGGTAGTGGGATATCAAGTTGTGTATTTTTACATGTTCCCCTCCCTTAAGGGATGTGAGAACTACCTCCTTCATGATTGCAGGTATTGTGAAGGTTTCAATTTTCCTTCTAGTATTGCTGCTACTCAGAGTTTAGGGGTTAAAAATACTGAGATAAATGTCAACAGTAACACAAATTGATATGCCAAGAGACGGGAGGTTTGATCATGTTTTCTGCGTTAAAATTTGTGTCATCCTATTATTGTCCCAATAGGGTTTGGCTCTGTTGGATAGAAACTCAAGACCAGAGACTATCTTCTTGCTAAAAGTAGAAGACTTACCTGAGGATAACCAGGAAAGGTTCAACAGGCTATTTACCGTTCGGGAAAAGTGGACAGAAGCAGACATTACCCCATATATTCAGTAAGTAGTTCACTACTAAGCATAATACTGTTTTAAAGTACAGTAAGTACATAATCACTTGCATAGTACTTCTAGTATACTTGGTTGCATCATGGGCAACTATAGCTGATAAAACCTTAAAGTGCTAGATTTTTCTTGCAAATTCTAAATGAGTAAAATATACTTACAGTATAGTCATTCAGAAGTATTATCTCTACTATGTGAATAGTGAGGGTGAAATCCTGGGGCCCCTTGAACTAAATGGAAGTTTTGTATTGACTTTCACTTCAGTGGGGGTAGAATTTTCCAAAGGATAAAAAGCTAAAAGTTATAAACTGTCTCCTAGTAGACCTTTTCTCCTATTAGTAACACTTTGTGACTCATCCACATGAGCTATCTTGAAATCAAAATCTTAACTGGAAGTTATGTAACTCAACTTTTCACTTGCAGATTATTAAGAGTGTGAATTCACAGTGAGTGTTGGACCAAAGTCTTGAGAAGGGACAGCCAGACTAGTGGAAGATTAAGGGATTAGAAGAGTTTAGTCAGGAAATATTTAAAAGGAGGCAAAATTGAAAGGAGATTAGCAGTAAATATTTGACTTTAGAGACAAGGCTAAAAAACTTCAACTTTCCTTTATACATCATATCTCCCAAATTAGTTTTCTTTTTAAAGTCAGTAAAATCAAACTTAATTCCAGAACTACACTCTAGTCTTACTTCTCATGTTTCATCCTTTCCCTTAGTCCTTTGGATTGTTCAAAATTGACATAACATTCACATGATACAATCAAGCTCTGGGCCTTGTTGGGCTAAGCAATGTACAAGCAGACACACTTGGTCTGACATGGTCCTTGCCTCAGAGCTTTGAGCCAAATTCTGCTGTTTAGAGTAAAATCTGAAGTGACTCCATTGACTCAGGCTTGGTCTGAACTTATCGGTATAGCGATGTCCATCGGGGTGTGAAAAAAAACCCTACACTCCCGACCAACATAGCTACGCCAACAAAATTCCCAGTATAGATGCAGCTCTGTCAATGGAAGAATATTTTTGTTGATGTAGCTAACATGATTCAAGAAGGTGGTAGCTACACTGACAGAAAACCCCGATGTTGTCTAAGTCTATACTAGGGGGCTATGCTGATACAGCTATGACAGCATAGGCTCTGTTGTGTAAACAGCTATACTGGTGTAATGGAGAACAGAATTAGGCTTTTGCCTTTTAGATTGTAAGATATTCAAGTTAGGAACCATCTTTGTGTTTTGTAAACCATGTAATATGCTTTTGGGAGTTACATAAATGCAGCAAGCTATGCCAAGGTATGAATTTTAGATGAATTTTAGAATTTTGGGAGAAGCACACCAATAGCTTATTAAGCAACACTCTAGTCAGGCTGATTGCTACGTTAGGAAAATCGGTTACTGAAACAGTTTGTACTCAGTCCTGAAATACTGTGTCCTAATAACCTTTTTTTAAAGTTACTGAAGAGTGTTTTCACCACTACTTTCTTTTTCTCTCCAGAGACTTATGTGCAGAGAAGCAAACAGTAGGTGCACTTCTGACCAAATATGCTCGTTCTTCCATGCAGAATGGCATCAAAGTTTATAACTCTAGAAGACCCATCTCATAACAAGAAATGACATTATTTAAGAATCAAGAATACATCAAGGAATAACAACTGATGGTGTTCATACCAGATTTAATTATGTAGCAATATCAACTAATTTGAAATGTCACGGTTGTGAAAGACCGGTCAGCTTAAAAAAAAAAAGTGTAGTACTGTATGCCGAAGACGGTGGAATTCTTGATTTATTTTAGATCTTTGTGGAAATAATTGCTCTACCAAAATCTAAAAACACACATTGCTGGAATCTAGTTTCCACCACTTAACCAGAAAGACCTACAAATTTGTTTGTATTGAACTGAAATTTGTAGTTTGTCTTAAAATTCTAGAAGCAAAGTAAACTCAGTATTTTTACTTTCCCTTTGTGCAAAAATATTTGCACATACTCTTTTTAAATAAGTCTGCTGATAGGTTAGTAAAGTCCAATAGAAAATTATTACAGAGAAAACTTATTTTTTCTACACAGCAGTCATTTTCCCCCCATTTATCTTATAAAAGAAGTCTACTTCCAGTGACAGTACTGAATATAGTATTTCAAAAGCAAAGTGGAATACTTGGTTTGTTTGCTATAAAAACTGAACTGTCAGAGCATCCTAGTTACCAATAAGCAATATTAGTGTTTTGAGCTGTGTGTGTAAAATGAGAAGTTTGGCCTTATCAGTGAATTATTCATTTCCACTGTGGACTACAGGTCAGGCCTTTGGAAAAGTGGTCCTTCTGGTTCATGTCTTTGAATGTGGATAACATGAAACAGAATTATGAGGCACTTAAATTGTCAAGAACCCAGAACATTAATACTATTGGCAAAAATTCCCTTAAGTTACATAATACTAACAGGTCTGTAAAATCCAGGCTAAGAGGATGCCTCAAATTACTCAGACATGGTATAGACTCAGCAACATTTTCTGTAACCTGCTCTTCACCACTGGAATATTGTCAGTATAAAGTTAATATACCAGAAGGCTTATTTTTAAAAGTGGTAAATTAAACTGTTTGTAGTATTGTAGTGCATACCTAAAATATATATAAACCCTAGAAAAAAGTTTCTGCAACACTTCCACCCAAATGTAAATATTTTTGAAATGTAGAGCTGTGAAGCATTTACTCTTTGTAATATTGCCAAGTTAAATGTTGAAGGCTTTTTAAAACTGGATTTCCATTTGTTCTTAGTAAACCTGTGCGATCCAGGTTGCTATTTGACAGCTTTGCAAATCTGTGTTAAAGGGAAATATTATTGTAATACTTTAGGTAGCTTGTTATTTAAGATGTGAATGCACCTAAAGCATTCATATATAACCATCATGTGGTCTTCCACACATTATAATGTGCCAATGAGTGGGAAAGGAGGGGAAGAGAGAGGAACAAATGTGCTATAAAATAACCTGGTCTAACCTTAAAATAGGGTATACTTATCCTTAGAATTCTAATGTAAGAGCTGAATAAACTCCAGCACCACCTCCTCTCTGCAGTCAGATAGCTTCTCTGTGTGCGTTTTTTTAATTGAAGGATAGTCTTTCCATTTTGCGAGAATATCCCCAATGTAATATGGATGCCAAAAGGCCTTAGTGAACAATAAATCTCAAACTCTCCACAGATTGGGTCTTCAGGGCAGAATTTGGGGGTTCTGTTCCAGGAACTATATACCCTAATTGTTAAGATAGTGAAGCAGGAGTGTGGGGTTTTTTTGTTTTTTCTTCCCAATAAAGGGCTGAAGTGAGCAGTGTGGGGCCCAGGAGTCTAAACTTTTGTTCTTTCCTCACAGCAGCTCCATTCTCCCACACAAGACCTCAACACAAAAATATAAAACGGGATTGGCCAGCATGTTAAGGGTCAACATTTTTAATTGCTTAATATAAAATTACTCATCCTGTGGATTATAAATGTCTTACTCTGTAAAGCACCATGTAAATTTACAGTGCTGTGTACTTAAATTTACTTGATAATGGAGATCTTCTGGAAAGTAGGAGGAAGCCATGATCTTGTTACCAAGAGAACTGATCAATCAGATTTGTCTAAATACTCTTTAATGAATGTATAATATTCATTGTCAGCTGACTTTAATAAGAATATAATTTACTTGATCAGTTTTAGCAGACTAACAAACAGAAAACAAGCTGTCTTTTGGAGTCAAAACAATCCTGGATTTGGAAAGAGGAAATTAAAGAGACGGTAGAATAAAGATTTCAGTAACACCTTATATGCAATAGCTTTCATCCTAAACTAATGGAAACATGACAAAGAGCTTACTGGGAACACAACTAATCTAAACTGCGAAGAAACTTTTAGTGTCACCACTAGGAAAAAAATAGGGCTGGCTTGCTTTTAATGAACTCCTTATGTAGTTAAGCACAGCAGCTTTGTCCCATAATATAATATTTAATATCATGGAGAGAATTTCATGTATTCACAAATAGACCACACACTACACTGCCCACTACTGCACCTAAAGGACTATATGTACTATTACATGAGGAGATGAGGACTAGGGCCAAGCAACAGGGGGCTGAATGAAATACACAGTACATGTATTTCTTTTTCTCAAATTCAGAGAAAAGAGTGAGCTGTATATTATACATACAGATGTTCATATAGTTTCCTATAGCAATTTACCTAGTCTGTATCAGCCCTCATATACAGCAGTTATTCACTTGTGGGTTTTATTTGAATCAAATATGTAAACTAGATTTTGGTGATTAATCCACCATTCTCAAAATAACTATTGTTATGGGATTAGCTAGTCTTTACTATTTAATGACTGTAGGAAAATCAGATTTCCATTGACTACTCATCCATTTGTCTTATCTTTCCTTGAACACTTCCAGTGATCGCTATTACATAGCCTCCCTCCCTGAGTTATCGTCTTACGTGAAAGTACTTTTTAAACTAGATTCCCTACACCCACTCAGTTATGAGGGCAGCATATGATAGCAAAAATACACATGCAACAGTCATTCCCTTCCTTGTCTATTGTATTTGTATCTCATTCTGCTGTGATCACTTGATCTACTCTTTTACTATATTATAGGCTTTGTTTAAAAATTACTCAAAGGTTATACAGTAGAATTCTATGAGTAGGTTGACTGTAAAAACTAGTCTTAATTATGTTTCTAAAATTAATTGCTTCCATGCATTTTAAGGTTGAGCAAGTATAAAGAAAGTTACTCAAGTCAGATTTGTACATTTTATGAACTGTAAGGAATTGTGAACATTTTAAAAGATTAACACTTGTAAATAAAGGAGTTGTAACTGAATATTGCAGAATATAATACTTCCATGAACTGTTGCTAAGATACTTTAATACATGGATAAATTATAGCATATATTGTAACACACCAGAGGCTAACAAGCAATATTTGTGACATGACTGCACATGGATATACCTATAACCTGAGATTAAAATAGCATTCAATACAGTGGTAGGAATTTGTTTCTTACAATGTTTGGACATCATATCTACATACATTCTACATGACACTAACAGCTTAGCAAATATTCATGCTTCTGTGAAGCATGCAGACATTTAGAATAGCAATGTAAAAGAGATGTCCTCAAACTTAGGGCCAAAATTTTTACATTTAGATGCTCAGATAGGGTTTTAGTTTCCAAACTAGACACCCTAGTTCGACAATTCTGTTTGATGTACATGCTCTCATGACAGGCAGTTTCAAGAATTTCATTCTCCTAAGTAAAACTTGTCCCATTCACTGTAGTGGGATAGTTCTATATAATGCCATGAGCACAGAAAAATGTATGAACCAGATGCTCCATTCTTTGTGCAGGCAAAACTCCTTATGGAAGATGATTTAGTTTAGACCCTTTTCAGCATAACAAAATGATAGTTTCAAATTTACAGACTGAAAGTGAATAAATACACAAGTTAGTTGTCCTAGAAATAACAGGTTTCTCACACTAGTTGAATGTCAGGCTCAGAGTGCCTTTCTGAGTGGAGATGGGAGTGAGGAGATTCTATCACTAAGTTATGCATATAAATCACATAACACGGCTGTTACTCTGAAACCTAAGTTATCCATATAAAATACAGCATTGGGAGGATCTGACATGAAGAGGATGGTAGAAACAGCCATTGTCATTAGGCAGGATCAGAAGGGAATGAAATTGTTTTACAACCTCCCCATCCTGGCCTTAACTTAAATGTCCACCACGAAGAGGAAATCGCTGCAGATATCACAAGGAGTTAACAATACCTTTTACTAACTTGATCATGAGATTTTACAAACTATACAGCCGAAGCCAGCTCTGGGAATTAAGGTTAGCGTTTGTCCAAAAATGTATTAGGAGCCAAGTTTCACTATAGGATTAGTTCCCATCAGGCTCCCTGTGGGGCAGGATAAAAGAGTTGGCCACTATTGCAATTTTATCACATCTTACCATTAGAGCTGGTCAAAACAAATGGAGCCCACCTCCTTCCCCACTGTTCCTCACATGTTCTTGTCAACTGCTGATTAATGGCCCACCTTGATTATCACTATAAAAGGTCCCCCACAACCCACACCCACCGCTCTCCTGCTGGTAATAGCTCACCTTAAGCGATCACACTCCTTACAGTGTGTATGGTAACACCCATTGTTTCATGTTCTATGTATAAAAATCTCCCCACTGTAATTTCCACTGAATGCACCCGATGAAGTTATGCTTCACGAAAGCTTAACAAATTTATTTGAGCATAGTCTCCAAGGTGCCACAAGTCCTTTTCTTTTCGCGAATACAGACTAACATGGCTGCTACTCTGAAACCTGCAACAAAATTGTTTACATCTAAATCTTCAATAGAATTTTGATAATCGAGCAGAAATACAAGAACAAATATTCCAGCTAAAATCTAAAACATTTCAGTTTGGTGCCTCATTCTCCCATTTGCTATAGGTCAGACTACATCCTTCATGATACAACAGCAGTCTCCTCTCTTGGAGAGGGAGGGCTGCACACCATGGAAGAAGCAAGCCAGCCAACCAGCCCAGCGAGAACAGGACGTGAGAGGGCAGAACTACTACTCCCGCGAGGCAGTGCGGCAGCACTCCCAAATATTTCGTTTTTCAGGTGTTCATTTTTAAGTCTTCCCGAAACCGAAAAGCCAACACTTCTTTCAAAAACACAAACAACCCCGCCCCACAACCCACCCCGAAAAAACAAAGCCACGTTTAGTAAAAAGAGTCACAAAATAGTTCTTCCCCACTGAAAACGTTTTTGCTGAAGATTTGCCCCAGCCTTACTTGGACGGTGGAAACGAGGCATCGCCTAACACAGATTTCCACCCTCGCCAATGGGGCACAGCCAAGCCGCCCAGTGGATAAGGAACTGGGCAGGAAATGGTGTGAGACGCCCGAGCGAGAGTGGGGGCTCGGGAAATGCGGCAGGTGGGTCCCACCGCCTGTCCTTACAGTGCACATCCCTGTTTCCCTGCCCCCACCCCTTCCCAAACCACCACCAGGAGCTCCAGGCACAAACACTGCGCACGCGCCTCCCAGAGTTGCTCACGGCCGGGCCGCTTTGCGAGGTTACGGGCGAGATGCGCATGCGCAATCCGGCCGAAAAGCTCATCGCTATAATTTTGATTCCCCCCCCCCGTCCTTTTCTCTGTCTCGCTCAGATTCCTCCAGGTCGCGCCGCACAGGGGGCGATGGAAAAGAGGGTTTTTTTAAAAGCCTTTAAGCCAGCCTTGACCTTTCAACTGCCGGAAGTTCAAAGGTTACCAACAAAATGGCGGCCGCAGCTGCTGCAGGGCTTACTGGCGGTGTGGATCCGGCGGACGCTGGACGGGCCCAGGCAGCGCCTCGCCCGCCCTGCTGAGCGCTGGGACGCAGTTGCATCCAGGGGCCCGAGCTGCTGTGTGTGTGCGGGTTAGCGCCCAGCCGCCCCCGAGACACGCCGCCGGCGAGCAGCGGCCGCCAGCCCAGCCCCTGCCCCGGGAACGGCGGCAGCCCCCAGCCAGGCACCGGAGCAGCTTCCACGCGCCTAGGAGCCATAACCCCAGCGCTACCAAGTCAGGAGCGGCTTCTGCTCGCCCAGGGCTGCAGCCGAGCCGTGCCCCCACGGCACCCCACCTGGCAGGGGCCGCAGAGCAGCCCCCGACCTGCCCCATCCCCTCTTGGCAGCAGCCGACACCGCCAAGCAACGCCCGCCCCGCCGCCGACTCCCCCACCCCCAAGAGCCCGGGAGCGGCCGCCTCGTTCCCGCCTAAAAATAGCGAACGCCTCAGCAGCCCCCTCCCACCTACCTATTAGCAGCAGCCCCTGCTGACCCAGCAGGAGGCTGCACTGGCAGGAGCATGAACCCCTCACCCCGGTCATCACCATCAGTAGTTCCCAGACCTCCCCCAGCAAAGTCCATCACTTGTTGAGGAGCAGGCCTGCAACACCTATTTCCACTCTGCATTTAGCAGCTCAGATTGTGTAGCTTCCAGGGTGAGGGAGGCAGGAGATCTGTCACCTCCTTGTACCTTCTGTGGAAGGGAATTGTGTGTCACACACACATAGTATAAATAAGAAGACTGTATGTTGACTTTATAACTGCGGCTTCTCTGATCTGGCCATGACTGAATCTTGGGAGTCTTAGATCCACTGGTGATAGAACAGTAATGAAAGGGAACTTGACAAGGGGAAAAATCAAACCACCCATCCAAAGACCACTAATGAGGACGAAGTTGATGCATATTTGACTCTCAACAGTTAAGTGCTGCTGTGCAGGATGAATAGGAAGAAAGGAGACAAGGGATTTGAGAGCCCAAGACCTTATAAATTATAAGTATTAATTTTTGTATTTCTTTTGCGTGCTTGAGATTAGTGTTCATTCTCTGTATTATGTAATCTGAAAGCTTTGTCGTGTAGGCTGTACGCTGACCAAAAGTTGACCGTTATGGTTGGTTTTAAAGTAAAGTCAAATGAAGCTGTACAGGGGTAATTTAGGGATGCTTTAAAATTATTGCTGAACATTCAGTTATACTCTGAAATCTTACTCTTTAAAGATGCATTGTGGGTTTCCCTGTTCCAGTGATTCCATATCAAATGTTCACCATTTTAATGTAAAATATTTTTTTCTAATTATCTACTCTTCAGACTCAGCATGATATCTGGAAGGAAAGCTCTGTCTTTTCCAATTCATGTATAAAGATTTTTCAGCTGTAACTTAGTTAACAGTGCTACTTACGATGCATGGACCAGTATAGAATTCTGTTCATTGTTCCATAGCTGTATGTGCTCTGTAGTACCAACCAAAGGAAAAAGTGGTAAAAAATATTTCAGGCCTCAATCCTGCATGATCTTTGCAGATATGCAAAGATCTGCCTGCAGAGTTTGTGGCGGTATACCATTGCTTTAAATGTTTATTTCTCAGGACCTTCCAATGCTTGAAGCAAGTGCTGTTTCCTAAAGGACAGCTGGGTGTCTTGCTCTTTCATGTATAGGATTTGTATATATGATGAGAGAGTCATCTTGCCAGAGAAATGTTTACTCCTTATGCCCTCTATCCACTCCCTCCCTCCTCCCCAGCAATTATGCCTCTTTGAGGTCCATAGCAGGCAATAGCCAGTCCTATTCTCTTGCAGCCTGGCCGGGATAGAACTCAGTCAGTTTTTATATAGTTGGTGATATTGTACTCTAATAATTGACATTTCACATATTGAAAAGCTATTTAGGTAATTGTTAGAGCTTTCATAACTTCCTCTGAGCCCTTCGTTATTGTATTTGGGGTAACAGACAAAAAGATTCAAAAATAATTCCAGTACAATATTTTAAAGCTGTTCAAAACAGTTCAAACTATATTTTTCCTTGTAGCGTATGTGTGTACAGCCTATATGATGGTGTGATGCTTTGATGGTTTTAGTGACACCTTTGGGATGCCCTGCATAATTCCCATTTCATTGCTTGTATGTGGTCATTCATGCAGATAAGACCTTCATGCCATAAATTCTCTCCTTATGTTTATGTACACATATTTTCACACTGAGTATAATATGTATACAATATCTATGTATGTAGACATACACATGATATAAAGATTGTTCAACTAAGATTTTCTTTTAACTAAGTTAAAGAAACATGAGAAATGACATTGATATGTTATTTGTCTATATTCTTATTTTAAATGTTTTTGTTTTTTCCAGCACAACCCACCAGGTAGTCTGCATCAACAACATAAATTTTCAGAGAAAGTCTGTTGTAGTAAGTATATTATTTACAAAAATATTAAAGGTCATATCCAAAACCAAGATTTTCTTCTGTATTTTTGAGGAAATA